ATCTATCTACATATAACCAATCCATCTTCACCAATCCCTTAATCTTAATAAAAAAGAGAAAAGAAAACTTTGCCTTCTCTTCAATTCTTAGCTTTCAATCACCAATTATATATCACCTTATCAATATATCATAACATTAATAAACAATAATCCCTCTACCCCTTAATATACAATGCTATAATTTTCCATATATAAATATATTTTTTTTCAGAAATCCCTTATAATTCCACAACTCCACCATAATAACCATTAAAATTGAAAACACTTTTAAAATTACATCCCACAATATTAATTAATGCCGGTTACCATGTAACTAAAGTAACCACTAAAGTTATTTCTTTAAAATTACATCCCAAAGTACCTTATCAATATATCATATCAAAAGTAACATTTTATAATAAACAATAATCCCTCTACTCCTTAATATACAATGCTATAATTTTCCATATATAAGTATTTTTTTTTCAGAAATCCCTTATAATTCCACAACTCCACCATAATAATCATTAAAATTCAGAACACTTTTAAAATTACATCCCACAATATTAATTAATACCAGTTAGCATGTAACTAAAGTAACCACTATAATTCAGAACCCTTTTAGTCATATAAATATTTCTTTAAAATTACATCCCAAAGTATTAATTAATCACATCAAAAATAGCATCTCTTAACCACTAAAATTCAAAATACCCTTTTGAATCCACACCTCCATTAGAATATCCCATCTCCTTCTCCAAAGATTTTTTCCTTTTTTTTAATTTTAAATTAATCTCTTAATATCTCAAGCAAAAATATGTGTTTCTTTAAAATTACATCCCAAAGTACCTTATCAATATGTCATATCAAAAGTAACATTTTATAATATATTGATTAATCACATCAAAAATAGCATCTCTTCAAAAATCCCTTTTGAATCCACACCTCCACCAGATCTCATCTCCTCCTTCAAAAAATTTTAAAATTAATCTTTTAATATCTCGAACAAAAATACCTATATTATTACATCACAAGATACTCTTAAAAAAAATCCCCCAGCTGCTTCTCCTGATATGCAATACTATAATTTTCCATTTCTATAAGTATTTCTTTAAAATTGCATCCCAAAGTCACAACTGAGTCCATCACCACCTCTTCTCTGTATCCTTGTAAAATTTCTTTAGATATTTCCAATCCAGTTTCCGCTTTTGCCGCCAATCCTTCCAGATGTCTTCCTTAAAATCCAAATCTTCTTTTTGAGTCTTTGTCAGTCCACTTTCAACTTTTACAGGCTCCATTTTTCCTTCCATCCTAGCCTCTGCAATACCTTATAAAGCAAATGATATGTTCTGACAAAATCCTTGTAGTTCCCTTTCCAAAAAATCTTCAGATTTCTCTCTAATTTGTTTCAAAACTTTTTGTAAGTCTTCAAATGAAACCATCGATAGAATTAAAGAAAAATTAACTTCAAAGTTAAACTG